ATTGTATCTAAATTTGCGGTTTGGTAATAACATTTAATAATGAGCATATTTTGATATTCTTTTGTTTCGTTGATGCATCCATTGGTGCTTGGAAGCTACACCTGGCGCTCTACCCAGGTGTGACTCCCAGCAGTGACTATGATGACTCTGACATCTTGCATGTAAAGCGTGCATTCAGTCCTTGGAGCTATCTGTCAGGTTCCTTTTTTTGTTATTTTTGTCCATCAGTAAATCTTTGATCAGGTGAGATATTTTGTCCATTTTTAAGTTGGTTTATTTTCTTATTATTGAACTTTAGAGATTTTTTTGTATATTTTGAGTAATTCATAAGTGGTCTTCAAATATTTTCTTTTGGTTTGTAATTTATCTTCATTTTTACCTAACAGCAGTTTTTGTAGAACAGAAGTTTTAATTTTAATGAAGGTTAAAAATTTTCTCATTTGGAAATTAATTTTTGTCTAAATAATCATAAACAAGTTTATCCTAGATTTACTCCACTGTTTTCTGCTGTAAATCAGATAATTTTTTATTTCACATTTTAGGTCTATGATTCAACTTGATTGAACTTTTTTCAGTGTGTAAAATATATATATCAAAGATTTTTTTTAATGGTGGTTGTTGTTCCCGCAGTAGCTCTAGCCTGATTTGGTAAAAAGACTATATTTTCTCTGTTGAATTGCCTTAGAAAATTCCTTTGTCATAGATCAGTTGACAACATTTGAATGCTTCTGTTTCTGGGCTGTATTCTATTTTGCTTATTTGTCTTTTATTCATACTACCTTGTCTTGATTACTGTTAATTAGATTCCATATGGATTTGGCATGGAATACTGTCAGATTTTTCAACTATGTTTTTTACCGCCAATAGTGAATTTGCTCTTTGAGATTATTTGACTCTCTATTTGAAATTTTATTTGTTGATGTCTGCAAAGTATCTTGCTTAGAATTTTACTGAACCATTGATTGTTGGGAAAAATCAATATCTTTTTATAATATTTTCTTCCTATTCATGAACATAGACTACTTCTCCGTTTATTTGGATCTCCTGATTTCTGTTTTGTTTTTGTGCCATAGCCAGCTGTTCTCAGGGCTTATTCCTATTCCTGTGTTCCATTTGGGGGTCACTCCTGGCTGGCTCTGCACACCATATGAGGTGCCAGGAACTGAACCCGAGTCAGCCATGTGCCAGACAAACACGCCCTCCCTGCGCTTGCTCTGGCACTGGCTCTCTCCCCCCGCTCACTCCTCTTTTGATTTCTTTTATTAGAAGTTTGTAGTTTTCTTCATGTAGATCTTGTACAGTTTTTTGATCTCCTTGCAGTGCTGGAGGTTGCACCCAGGGCCTCATACATGCAAGGGATGTGCTGTACTATTGAGCGCCTTCCCTAGCCTTAGATATTGTACATATTTTCTTCTACATATTGCACACATTTTCTTAGATTCATACCTAGTTAATTTTTATATGTTAATAATATGACTTTTATTTCAGCTTCTACAAAAATTTTATTACTTTTGCTCAAAAAAACTTTGTAGGTTACAGTTTTGCTACTATAATTGATGACCAATTCAAGGAAGGTTTTTTGTTTGTTTGTTTATTTTTGCTTTTTGGGTCACACCCGGCAATACTCAGGGGTTACTCCTGGCTCTGCACTCAGGCATTACTCCTGGAGGTGCTCGGAGGACCATATGGGATGCTGGAATCGAACCCAGGTCGGCTGTGTGCAAAAACAATTGCCCTACCCACTGTACTATTGCTCGAGTCCCAGTTTTCAGTTTCATTTGGGGATGGGGGACAGGTTTTATTTTGAACTATTTTCCATAGACAATCAGATCACTTTAAAACAAGTTTTCATTCTTGGGCCAGGGAGGTGGTGCAGTGGTTGAGGTTCATGCCTTGCATGTGACTGGCCTGGTTCGACTCGTGACATCACACATATGGTCCCCTGAGTACTGCCAGAAGTAAGCCCTGAGCACACCTGGGTGTGGTCCCTAACAAAAAAACAATGCTTTTTTCTTTCCTATATGTATAGCTTTTACTTGCCCCTTTTTTGAGGAGGGGGAGGGTGGTTATTGCATAGCTGGGACTTTTAGTATATTCTCAGTAGAGTATTTACAGGGAAATCAATGTCTTGCTCTCCAGGTTAGGAAAAAACTACTTGGTTTCTCACTATTAAAATATGATGTTCTGGTGTTCGTATGGAATTTGGGGCCTTTAAAAAAAATTAAATTGGGTAAGGTTTTCTTTATTCCTGGCACAGCGGGTAGGGCGTTCGCCTTACAAGCGGCCAACATGGCCGACCCGAGTTCGATTCCTCCGCCCCTCTCGGAGAGCCCGGCAAGCTACCGAGAGTATTCAATATGCCAGACACAGTAACAACAAAGTCTCCAATGGAGACGTTACTGGGCCCGCTCGAGCAAATCGACGATCAACGGGAGGGCCTTTACCTTTACCTTTACCTTTTCTTTATTCCTAACTTGCTGAGTTTTCATTGTAAAACAGATTTTGGGCATTAGCCTTGCATGTGGCCAACCCAGGTTCAATTCCTAGCATCCCATATGGTCTCCCAAGCACTGCCAGGAGTAATTCTTGAGTACAGAGCCAGGAGTAACCTCTAAGCATCGCCGGGTGTGACCCAAAAAGAAAAAAAAAACCCAGATTTTGAATTTTGTTACATGTTATTTCAGCATCTTTTGATATAATTACATGACTTTTATTTCTTATCTTTGTTGATGTACTAATTACTGAAGGTTAATACTATAATTTGACCATAGTGTGTCATTTTACTTACACATTAGATCTGTTGATATTTTGTCCAGAATTTTTTGCATCTGTGTTCATGAGAAATAATAAGATAATAAATGAAGAATTTTATAGTGAGAACGATAGCACAGCGGTAGGACATTTGCCTTGCGCACAGCCAGCCCAGCTGAGCCGGGTTCGATTTCTCTGCCCCTCTTGGAGAGCCTGGCAAGCTACCGAGAGTATCTCGCCCGCACGGCAAAGCTGGCAAGCTCCCCGTGACATATTCAATATGCCAAACACAGTAACAACAAGTCTCAAAATGGAGACGTTACTGGGCCCGCTCAAGCAAATCAATGAACAACGGGAGGACAGTGCTACCTTTTTTGATATTAGGGTTATTTGTGAGAGTTTTCTCATAGAATGAGTTAGAAAGTTACTCTGTATTTAAAGGACTTTCATTGTGGATTTATCTAGATGTTTTATAGAATTCATCAGTGAAAATACCTGGACCTGTAATTTCTGTTTAGGGAGGTTATTGATTTGACTTCTTTTTTACATAAAGGTCTATCCAGATCTCTTTTTCTCAGGCTAAATTTGAATAGATTGTTTGAGGATATTGGTACATTTCTTCTATGTCATCAAACTTGTGAGCATAGAGTTGTTATATATATTCTTAAATTATTATCTTCTGGTACACAGAACAGTTGTGATTATTCTTTTATGTTTTGTGGTTTTGGTTTTTTTAATTCCGCATACTAGCATTTTCTGGGTTGGGTTGTTATTTTTTTCCCCCTTCCTCTTTTCCTGATTATCCCAGTTCATTTTATTTATTTGCTTATTTTGATTTGGAGGCCATACCTGGTGGTGCTCAGAACTTGCTACTTGGTTGTGTGTTCCTGGGTCACTCCCAGCGGGTATTGGGGTACCATATGTAGTGCTGGGGATTGAACCTGGATCAGCCGTGTGCATGATAAGTGCCCTACTCACTGCACTGTCACACTGGTGCCAGCCTAGCTAATTTAATCAATTTTAATGACCCAATAAATAAGCCATGTTTTTGGTTTATCTATGATTTTTTTAATTTCTTTGCAGTTTACCGATTTTTTTATTTTCTAGATTTATTTCTTTTGCCTAATTTGTGAATGTTTTAATCACTGTATCCTTGAACAGTGTTTTAGTTCTGCCTTTTTTCTCCTTTCTTGCCAGTACATGATGACACAAATATTGGATTTTTTTGTGTAATTCCACAGGTCCTATACAGAGATGAGCTTCCAAATATGTGTGTATACATATATATATAGTGTATATGTACACACATATAATATATAAAATCTGTGAATCTGTGTATGTAATGTTTGGATTGTACATCTTTTATTGCCATTTGTTTTGGTTCAACAGTAGTCGTCTCTCACCTGTGGTCCTGTTATTGAACTCATTCACAATTTTTTTCTTAGTTCCAGTTATTTTTTCTCCTAGAATTTCCATTTTTAGAAGCATTGCCTTTTTTCTTTACTGAAAGTATTTTTTTCCCCAACATATTCTTTTTTTTGCCCCCCCCCGACCCCTGCAGTATGTTTTAAGCATGTTTCTAATTGTGTGGGCATGTTTTAGATTGTCTTGAGTGTGTATGTATGTATGTATGTATGTATGTATGTAAACGAGTAGAACTGCTATGTCATATGATACTTAATTTTAATTTTTTATACTTTTTTGGTACGTAAGTTTAATTTTTTGTGAATTTCATTTCTTTATACTTTTGTTCTTTTGTATTATAAAGACAGGCAAACAGTCTGAGATATTTTGAGGTATCTTTTAGGTTCTTAGAAAGTACTGACTGCAGACTAGATTTATTCCTCCAGTTATTCTTTGTTCATGTCTTTATTCTTTCCACTAAAATGATAGGTGTTGATAATTTAAGTCGATAAAGATACCCTTAGGTCTGGAGCAAGAGAGATTAGAGTATCTGCCTTGCACATGGCAAACCCGGTTCAATCCCTGGTATCCCCTGTGGTTCTCTGAGCACCGCCAGTACCGGCAGTGGAAATTACTGATTGCAGAGTCAGGAGTAAGTTCTGAGCATTGCAGGACGTGCCCCCTACCCCACCCTCCAAAAAGGATATCTTTAGATGAGTACTGAAGTATTAAAAGGAAATATTAAACTAGTGCACATCTTGAAACAGAAAGGGTGTGGTTGTGTGATTATTCGTAGTCATGACTTTAACATTTAAAAAAATACACCCATTCTTTTATTTATCTAGAAAAAAGAAAGTGAGTGCTTGCAATTAAAAATTTTGGTGCTTCGGAATGAATTGGAAAGACAAAAGAAAGCTTTGGGACGAGAGGTGGCATTACTGCATAAGCAACAAATTGCGTTACAGGACAAAGGTGAGTAAAACACCATGCAAAAGAAATATAACCCACAATTTAGTAGTTTTTCTTTCATCTCCATAGGCAGAAATTGCAAACTTTCTATCTACGTGTTGATAGACTCTTTAATGTTTTGAAATATTTTTAAGGTGTTATGAAGGTGATATATATGAAAGGTATGCAGATACACAAACTCTGAACACACACACACACATACTCTCTCTCTCTCTTTCTCTCTCTGTCTCTCTGTCTCTCTCTCTCTCAGGTTTTCCAAGTGAAATGCTACATAAGCAGAATCTTCATCAAATATCTGCATTACCAGGAGCCCAGACCTCAGAGACTTCCTCATGTTCTATTTCATTTAGAGCATCTCTAGAAATACTTGACTTAATATACCAAACATTGGTTTTGCTCGATTAAAACCTTTATGTTAATGGCAGAATTCAACATGTACATATTATATGCTGACTTTTATTCAATATTTTGTTTGTAAAATTCACCCTTTTCTGCATCTAATGTAGTCTCGGTTCATTCTTCTTGCCAATTGTAATCTATAGTGAATTTATATAATTCATACTATTGGCATCAGTAATTTGTAATTTAGAAATTATTATAGATAAATTAAGTCTGGAGGGATTTCTGCCAAAAACCGCTGGGTTCTGAGATTAGTTTGTGTGCCTCTGGGATCATGGCTGTCCAAGAGACGGAGGAGCCAGTCGTGGACAACAACTCAGGGTCTTGTCAGGGCAGGGAGAGGGGCCTGTTCCATCCCACATCCCGAGAGACCCCGCGCATCTCGTCACTGCAAGCTCGTACCTCTCTGTCCAATAGGCTCTGAAAGATGGTGGCGGTCACCATGCTGCCATTGAGAGGAAAAGGTGGAAGGGACAACACCCTTTCCCACCCAGGGTGGCATGGAGCTGTGGCTTCATTCACAGTCCAGAAGCATTTCTGCCAAAAGTCGCTGGGTTCCGAGATTGGTTTGTGTGCTTCTAGGATCATGGCCGTTCAGGAGCTGGAGGATCCAGTCTGGGTCCCTCCCCATGCCACACCCTCCCCCTACCTGTGGGGCAGATGATTTCCACATTACTCTCTCCCTACTTTGATCACATTCAATATTTCGACACCAGACCCGCCATTATTATTTGAGATTTTACCCCAACACTCAGATCTGCTGAAAGGGCAACAATAGACAATTTGTGTTCTATTGCTGTTATGAATAACATATGATGTTGCGTGCCTGCAGTAGGGCCATGTGATTTTGAAATTCCGAAATTTTAACACTTAAATCTGGAGGGATTTCTGCCAAAAGCCACTGGGTTTTGAGATTTGCTCCTGAGTCTCTGGGATCATGGCCGTTGAGCAGCTTGATCAGGAGCCAGAGAGGCCATTCATGGGTGATGACTTAGGGTCTCATTGGGGTGGGAAGGACAGGCCCGGTTCCACCCCCATCCCTTGAGGCCCAACAAGTTTCGTCATTGTGGGCCCAAGCCTGACTGTCCAGTGGCCTCTGGAGGATGACAGCCACCGACCCACCAAGGGGGAGCAGGCGGAGGGACAACACCCTTTCCCCTCAGGGGTGACCCAGTGACTGTAACCTACTGCGGGGTCCAGACGCATTTCTGCCAAAAGCTGCTGGGTTTCAAGATTTGTTTCTGAGTCTCTGGGATCATGGCCGTTAAGCAGCTTGATCAGGAGCCAGAGAGGCCGTTTGTGGGCGATGACTTGGGGTCTCGTTGGGGTGGGGAGGACAGGCCTGGCTCCACCCCCATCCCTTGAGGTCCAAAATGTCTCGTCACTGCGGGCCCAGACCTGACTGTCCTATGGCCTTTGGAGGATGACAGCCACCAACCCGTCAAGGGGGAGCAGGTGGAGTGACAATACCTTTTCCTCCGTGGACTGGCCTGGCGACAGTAATGTTCTGTGGGGTCTGGACACATTTCTGCCAAAAGCCACTGGGTTTCGAGATTTGTTACTGAGTCTCTGGGATCATGGCCATTAAGCAGTTCGATCAGGAACCAGAGAGGCCTTGCCTCCAATTATATAGCTGAGCCGGAGGTGGTTTGTGGGTGTGTCTCCCACATACCTAACTTTTGGCCCTTTACTTTCTTGGTAAACTTTGCCCCAAGTCTTTGGGGTCTGGCCAAAAGGCGCAGCAGCAATTTTGGGGTATCTGGAAGTCTGAAGGCGCCATTAGGCTGCTGATGCACTCACCTCACTGGTACAGATTGACCTGCTGGTGGCACCATACCCCCTGTAATTTTGATCTTTGTTTCATTGGAAACTAATGAAGTTGAACTCTGTTTCATAGTTTTTTTGCTAATTGTGATACTCTCCAGTGTGGTCTGTTTGCAAAGGAAAATACTCTGTTGTTGAAGTCTTTTTTTTTTTTTGCCCAATAATAATTAACTTTTTCAGTGCACGAACATCAAGTATCTTTCTCTTTCTTTGTGCCCTCTTTGATTTGCTTCTTAGTGCCTTACTGTTTTCATTCTAGAGGCCTTTCACTGTTTTGATTTTATTCTTGGTTGCCTATTTATTATCCCTTAACAACTGTAATGGAATTGTTCATTTCTCTTTCAGATAGTCATTGTTAGTGTCTAGAGGCCACCATAGCTGAAACATGATTTGTTATGAAGAGAATAGTACGTACGGGAGTTGGGATGAGAAGTAAATTGTAGTATGCACCACCGTGGCACCGTTCTCCCATTGTTCATCGATTTGCTCGTGTGGGCACCAGTAACGTCTCCATTGTGAGACTTGTTGTTACTGTTTTTGGCATATCGAATATGCCATGGGGAGCTTGCCAGGCTCTGCCATGCGGGCGGGATACTCTGGGTAGCTTGCCGGGCTTTCTGAGAGGGACAGAGGAATCGAACCTGGGCTATGTGCAAGGCAAATGCTCTACCCTGCACTATCTTTGCCTTAGCCATATCTTGAAAATTGAGTTGGAGAAGATGACTAAGAAAGAGACACAAGGGGCCAGAGAGATAGTACAGAGATAGTTCAAGGCTGCATTGCCTTGCATGCAGCTGCCCCAGGTTTGATCTCCGGTATCCCATATGATCCCCCAAATACCGCCAGATGTAATGTCTAAGTGCAGAGCCAGGAATAACTCCTGAGCATTGCCAGGTATGGCCCTCAAACCACAAAACAAACAAACAAAAAAAGAAAGTGGGTAGGTCTGTGAGCGAATCCTATTATTTCAAGATAGTGTGAAGTGAAGTCATTAGATTTAGGGGAAGCCTAAGGATGTGGTAATGTATAGAGTCATTATCTCTAGTATGGGAAAGCAAACTAATTAGGAAGTTATATTTGAATTGCTGTATAGTGTCTACTTGTGCTTTGTGGATATTATTTTTATAGTTAGGCAGATCTGTTAGGAAAATTCCTCTACTAATTTGGAACTTCCTGGAAAATTCCTCCACTCATCTGAAACAAGTTCGGATAATTTAAATATTGAACGAAAGTGAAATTTCTCATATTTTACAGCTGAGAAAAATGAAACTAAGTGAATTTAAGACTTGTCTAGAGTTCTGAAAATAGCCTAGGCAGGATTTAAACCCAGATCTTTGATTCATATGTCCTTGGGTTTTCCATAAAATAGACTGCCTCCCCAAGGATTTGCCTGTTGTATTTAAGCAGTAAAATTAGCTCTGACCATCTAAGCTGTCAGGCCAATTGTGTAGTTATGAAAGGTATCAATTGCTTCCCATTGCCTGTTATAAGGAAATATATCAGTTCTTTGGGGAGAAAAAAATCTTCTCTTGGCACTAAATTCCGAGAGGAATTTAGCGTGCAGTTTCTTATGTGCAAGATATTAAATATCATAATGAAATACAGTCAATTGCAATTTTGCAAAAGTTACAGCACGAAAGAGCCTATTAACCCTTAAGATGAGCAGCATCATAAATCATAGTACAGAAAAGACATTCCTGCATGGAGGGAAACTGAAAAAGTTGGAGTATGTTGCTTTCTGCTTATCTGACTTTATGGAGAAAACTCGAAAGAATGATAGTTTATTGGTTTAAACTGTAATTTCGACAGGAACTGGCCATTGGCCAGTCTGAGACCAAACTCTCTCTCTCTGAGAGAGAACCTAAGGAGTCAGCTTTGTTTTGTTGATGGAAACAAGATTCATGTTCTTTCTAGCTTTCAGATTTATAGGAGACAGCATTGCATTCAGTTGTTAAATAAAAGTGCCTGACTTGAGTTCTTGCTGATTAGAAGCACCGTTTTACCTAATATAGTAGAATACTGATATATGTGTTAACAGAACCACGCATTTCTAAAAGAAGTTTTGTAATTTGCATTTATTTTCTATCCCTGAGTGATCTCTGCTTTGGGTGTAGAAAAATGAATCGAACTTCACTTCCATCCTCACAATACAAGAAAGCTGGATATGATATCAGTTTGAATCTGTTAGTGGACTAAGGTATCAGGGAACCACGTTGTGTGGTATGTAAGGAAAAATAGGAGAGTGCATCTGGAAACTGCCTCACCAGTGGCTCAGCCAAGGGACTGGAGGCTACTGTATTAGTAGGTGAAACAATTCAACTACAATTTCTAACAAATTCCTAGTAACCAAGTGTGGGCTACCGTAACATTATAATAGCAGGCACAAGGCAGTTCACTCTGCCTAGTTTCTCTGCATGAACCTTTTTTGTCTGTTCACAAATAAGACTGAAGTCAAGGCAGGAAATTATAGAAAACTACCGCATGGTTTGGGTCTGAAAGAGACAAGTGGAGATTGCTATTGCAATAAAAATTGGATTTAGATCTTGTTCCCCAGCAAGCAAAGAATTAAGCCTTCAAGGAAAGAGTTGCAAAGTCTGTAATTCCTAGGAAACCACGAAGAACTGTTGTCATAAAAGAGAAAGAAGACAGTGTAACTGTAGGGTGCAGAAGGTCACTGTCACTGTCCTCCCGTTGTTCATCGATTTGCTCGAGCGGGCACCAGTAACATCTCCATTGTGAGACTTGTTACTGTTTTTGGCATCTCGAATATGCCATAGGGAGCTTGCTAGGCCCTGCCATGCGGGCGGGATACTCTCGGTAGCTTGCCAGGCTCTCCGAGAGGGGCGGAGGAATCGAACTCGGGTCGGCCGCATACGAGGCAAATCCCCTACCTGCTGTGCAGTCGCTCCAGCCCAATAACATGCATATAAGAAAATATATGTAAAGAATTTTATAAAAGTATATGAGGAAAGGATCATAAAATAAAAGCAAAATGTGAGGCTGGAGAGATAGTACAGAGGTAAGGCACTTGCCTTGTATGTGTCTGATGTGGCTTTCAGCATGGGATCCTCAACATCCCAGATGGCCCCCCAGCACTGCTAGGAGTAATTCCTGAGCTCAGAGCCAGGAATAACCCCTGACCGTCATCGGTTGTGGCCCCCAAACAAACAAAAGCAAAGCAGACAAAAGCCAAACAAAATTAGAAAGACAAAGACCATATTGTTTATAAAATAGTTGACAAAATGATAGATTTATAATTGGAACATTATAGATGATTATATTAAGTATAAATGGTCCAAGTGCTCAATTGAAACAGATTGTTTAGATTTATGTTAAAGTACTTAAATAAGTGTTACATAAAGGAAGCCCACTTTGAATATATATATATATATATATATATATATATATATATATACGGAAGGTAAAGGAATAGAAAGGGCACACTATCGAATATTAATCAAAGGAAGGCTAGAATGGTCATATAATTTAGATTAAGTAGAGAGAAAAATCAGTGAGGCTGGAAGACCTTTCCAACATTCTCAGATGAGAACTGTACCTAATTGGTGGTAGACTACTCCACTGAGCACCACTATATTATACATTTTTATTTCAGAGATGCTTGGAACAGGTAGGACATATTTGATATAGAACAAACAACATAAAAGAATAAAAATAGTATGAATTACTGTCTCTAAACAAAATGAAAACAAGCTAGAAATTACTAACAAAAAGATAGTTGGAAAATTCCAAATACTCAGAAATTGAGCACATGTATACAAAGCATGGATCAAAGAAGAATGAGAAAGGTTAATTAGAAAATAGTTTGAACCAAATGAAAATATGACATTAGTATTTGAAGGTATGTATACTTAGAAGGAAATTTATAGCAGTTGATGGTCATATTTGAAAAGAATTGTGTATAAACTAAGCTTATACTTAATTCTTAAATTTTTATTATTTTGCGCTGCCACATCCAGTGATGCTCAGGGAATACTCCTGGCTCTGCACTCAGGAATCACTAGTGGCGGAGCTCAGGGAACCTGATGGGATGCTGGGAATCAAACCTGGGTCAGATGCATGCAAGGCAAGCACCCTACCTGCTGTTCTGTCTCTCCAGCCCATAGCTTATACTTTAGCAGCTGAAAAAAAGAAATTCAGTTCAAACAAAGAAGCAGGAAGGATATAAGAAAGGTCAGAAATCAGTGAAATTCAAAGGAATAGGAGTGAATACCATTAAAATTAAAAAGGTCTTAGAAAAGGTCAACAAAATTGATGTCTCTAGACTGAGCAAGTGAAAGTGGAGAAAACACAAATTAAAAATGTCGGGAATGAGTGCCATTACTGTACATCCTGTGGGATTAAAATATTGCTGTACAATTTTGAATATATCACAAGGCCATAGAAGCAAGGCTGAAGAGTCCCACTGACCCAGTCTGAAACCACTTGTGCACCAAAAGTTATATTTAGCAATGAATTCTTAATCATTGAAAAATGAAAAGATTCGTGATTTCTATAGGTGGCAAATGGAGAAGGGAAGTTTCTTACTTAGAGAAGAAATTGAGCTCTAGCTGATAAGTATGAGAGCATAATGAAGGAGGGGTAGGGTTAGTGTGGAACCTGTATAGTAAATTGAAGTAATTTATAGATTGATTGAAGTAAAAAAATGCCAGTTAATGCCAAATCGGCATTAAACAGCTTAAAATGCACAGGAGGATGTGGATGGAGATTAAAGATGCAGATTAGTTTTTCTATGAAATTATCCATAGGAAGCAACCCCAAGTTTTCAGGGTCTGAAGAAATTGAAGACTTTTTTCTTTGCCTCAGTATTACTTTGGCTTATGAAATAATAATAAGTTATAGATCGAGTTTTCTAAGGTATATCTAAAAACGTAGTTCTTGGGGCCAAAGAGATAGCCCAAGGAGCTGAGCACATGCTGTAATATGCATCGCGTGGTCCCCTCGAGAATCGGTACCAAGCTGAGAGTAGCCGCTGAAAGCTATCAGTGAAGTGTGGGAGGAGATGGCAGATGTCCCACTGGTTATTGGTGGAGCAAAGCTAACCCTCTGGTTTGTGTGACGACAGAACACAGTATGTGTGAAACTCTGCCGTTGACATATCATACATCACTTTGCCTCATTGCAAACAGAGGTATGCATGGGACTGTCATGAACAGTATTGTAAATCACCGTATATCATTAGATTGGTGAGGTGCTAAGGTGCAAACTATATTTTGGTTATTGAGTCTATTTGTTTATTCTTACGAGAAATGTGCTTGAGGGTACATTTTCTTTATGGATCATAGTTTTGAAACTAAACTTCTTTGTAAGATCTAGAACTTAAAGTATGAGTAAAAAGTATCAGACTAAGATATTCTAAGGGCCAGGGTATTATTTCTACAATTAAAAACCACTGAAGGTATTAGGGCTGGGTAGTCAGTACCTTAAGAAGCTTTCACTTTCTCTTTTTCTTAATTTTGCATCACACCTGACTGTGCTCAGAAATCACTCCTGGTGGGGCTCTGGGTACCTTATGTGAGTGCCGGGTATGAAACTGAACCAGGGTTGGCTGTATCCAAGGGCAGCACTGTAACCCCAATACTGTGTCTTTGGGGTAGGCTTTTTTTAAAGGTAGTTTTATGTTCATAGAAAAATTGAGTGGAAGATAAAGAGATTTCTCATGGAACCCTACCCCCCACAAGTTTTGCCTGTCATCCCCTCACCCCACTACTATTCCAGTTTTATAAGCCCAGGTGCTTTGAAAATCAATCAGGCTACCAATCAAGAAAATAGTACCTTTGAAATCTTATCGGAGTTTTTTGTTCAGCTAGCCATAAATATGAAGGCAGAGGCTCTTTCACTCCTGCAAGAACCTGCATAAAAAACTAATCTAATAAATACAAAATTTTAGTTGTTTTTTTTTTTCTTTCCCTCATGAATCCCTGTGGGTGACCTTTGCATCCAACCCACTATGTCTTTTTAACTTATTTCTCTCTCTTCACCGGGGAACTGGGTCCTGTTTATGATTGAACAATCCTGTCTCCTCTGTTACATCTGAAATTGTCTCCTTTACTCTCTCTGTAGGAAGTGCATTTTCCACTGAGCACCTCAAGCTTCAACACCAGAAGGAATCCTTAAATGATTTGAGAAAGGAATGCACTGCAAAAAGGTAAAGACAGAATTATTATATGATTGTTGAGTTTACTTGGAAGATAGAATTTGGTACCATAACAGTTTTTAAAAGCGGTGCAGTATGTATTGGTATTTCACACATCTGAGTGCCACATTAATTCTGGCACTAATAAATATTTGATCTTAACTATGCCTATATTAATAGCACCTACTGGGTGTCATGCACCATATGTTAGAGGCAGTTCTAAGAACTCCTGGTCATAATCATGAATATAAAGATTCATGATATACTGTTTGGTTTCCAAAACCACAATGCTATGACTTTAAAATGTTTGAGTATGCCCCTCTTGCTCTTTGGTAGGGTCCGGGTTTGCTCCTGCTGAGTGGTCAGGTGTTTTGGAAAGCTCCACAGCCCCTACATTATCTCCCTCAACATCAGTCTCTCTACCTGTATGGTTGATCCTCAGCATTGCTGTTAGATGTCTTTTCTCATAAATGAGGAAGCTTTGGGATTTTTTTTTTTGCTATATTTTTTCCTTTTTTCTTAAAAACCCGTGGTGATTTCTTGCCGCGCGACATCTTATCAGGACATCTTTTATAACATCTTATTATCTCATTCCTACTTTGGACAAACTTGCAGGCTATCGAATGTAGCCTGCCCACAGGGCAGAGTCTGGCAAACTCCCCGTGGCATACCAAATATGCCAAATACCAGTAACAATGATGGGTCTCATTCTCCTAAAGAGCCTTGAATATAATCTCAGGGCTAGGATGAAGGAGACGTTACTGGGGCCTGCTCGAGGCAATCGACAAATAACAGGATGTTGAAATGAAATGAAATGAAATGATTTCTTGCTTATCTTAAATAACCAATAAATTGGCACTGTATAATTTGCTGATTCAGATGCTCATTTTTAATTTGCTTATAACATTTGAATCTTGATCATTTCCCTCTTCATTTCTTTCAGAACATGCTTACCTTGTTGCCGCTTTTGTTTTTGTTTGTTTGTTTGTTTGTTTTGGCTTTTTGGGTCACACCCAGTGATACTCATGAGTTATACCTGGCTCTGCACTCAGTAATTACTGCTGGCAGTGCTTGGGGGACCACGTGGAATGCTGGGAATTGAACCCGGGTCGGCCATGTGCAAGGCAAATGCCCTACCTGCTGTCCTGTCGCTCTGGTCCCTCACCTTTGTTCTTTCCCTCATCTTCATTCACTTTTTCTACAAAGTTAACCTATTGCATGCATTTTCCTTCCTGACACTTTAGCAGTCGATGTTAAACCTCTAAAGAGTGTCTTGTCTAATCCTCTCAGTATGCAGGTAGGAGAGCCAGGCATTGGGGAATTATTATTTGTCCTGCTTAAGTCTTCAGTGGTCTCTCTGCATTACGCTACTTATTTTATATTCCACTTTGATCCAGTTTCTTATAACACTGCCCCCCCCCCTTTTTCTTTAATGTTAACACAGTTGAAAGGATAATATGTCCTCTTGTGTTGATCTGTTACTTATGTACCTTGTGTAGTTTCAAAGGAACAATGTAGTGCCTCCCACCCTAGCTGTCTGTGATGCTCCTAGCATATACTGTTAGAACTCAGTCATTATTGTGTCTCTTTACCTGGTGCTGGTGGACTCTAGGCCTTAGATTATAGTTAGCTTGATTGCTAGTATTCAGAGATGGATCAGGACTCATGTGGCCTACCGTGGGCTATTTTTATCTTCCCTCTGCATCAGTTTTGTGAAAATAAATGTTAGAAAGCATGCAGTCATATTTTTTAATATTTAATATTTAGTATTATTTTTTTTAAAAAAACAAAGTTTTTTCTTCTTTCCTCAATAGAGAACTCTTTCTGAAGACTAATGCTCAGTTGACAATTCGGTGCAGGCAGTTACTGTCAGAACTTTCTTACATTTATCCTATCGATTTGGTGAGTATAAAATGAAACCTTTTATGTTTTAAAAAAATGATGATTTCCACTTAAAATTTCCTCTCATCAGAATAATTCATTGTTATTGTTCAAATGTTAGGTGTCTATTTTAAAAATAAGTTGAAGCCATTTGATTTGAGTGAGGAACACCAAGTGAGGGGTGCTCACATACCGTGCTTAGGGGGCCTCGGGGCCTTTCTCTGCAGCTCTCGGCTCAGCTGGGGGTGCATCATTCAGAAATAGCAGTGCTCGGTGCTGGGACCCAACAGTACTGCAGGGGGCAGTGCTCAGAGGCCATCAGGGCGGTACTCAGCAGTTCTCAGGGCATCCATGTGGTGCCAGGGATTGAACACAGGGCCTTGTGCATGTAAGGCTTATGCTCCAGATTGTTGAGCTGTCTCCCTGGCCCACTGATTATTTTTCTTGTGTCAATATCAATTTTTGGTGAGATATTTGCATCTTTCCCTGAAAGAATACCGAATTACTGGGCTGGAGAGGTAGTTCTAGGGACTAAGGCTCTTGCCTTGCACACAGCTGACCCTGGTTCAGTTCCTCAAACTGCATATGATCCCCCAAGCACCATTGGAAGTGACCCCTGAGCATTGCCACTGGGGCCCAACCGCTCCCTCCCAGATAAAACCCACGAAATTTGTTGTAGTTCCTTTAAGATCTTCCTCAGGAAACCTAATTATTAGTTACTGTTTGGGGTGCTTAAGCACAAATATATGTTCACTGTTTTAAATACACAACTGCTAATTAAAACTGATTAGGATTCTTTTTTGGGGGGGGGAACAAAATCCTAAATTTAATGGCATTATTTTGTTTTTTTAATGGAAAGAGGTTTAAAGGACTAATTTTCTGAGACAAATAGGTTGCTTTTAGGTTGCTTATAGAATCATGTTACTTTTGTTTAAATGTTTCATATATTGCTTTGAATTGTTGCTTTCCATGGCTTTCTATGTGATGCTTTAAATGTTTATTTTATAGAGAACTTAAGCATACACACACATAATGAGAGAGAATGGTGCTCTCTCAGCACCACGTACTCATCATCTGACTATAACAATTAAGAAAATGCTTTGATTCCAGAATAGTTAACACTGACCTGCTGAGTTCTTTTGAGATTTGGCTTAGCTTCTTTGTTTTATTAATAACAAATTAATTTTAGTTTTGGATTCTATTTCTAGAATGAGCATAAGGATTACTTTGTATGTGGTGTCAAGTTGCCCAATTCTGAAGACTTCCAAGGTATTTCTTTCTACTTTTAAAAATTTTATATATATATGGTCGTAAAGCATGTTTAGTAGCAGAGTTAACTTGAAATGTGTTTTTTTTTATTATTTTGTCCAGAAAGGTTTTGGATCTTCTGGCCTTCCCAATTTTAAGTACAAAGAGTCACATTCCTGACTTGGAAACATAAGAGCAAATTTTGTCTGATTGTGGACAAAAATTATTGAACATTGCAGTTTTGAAATGTAAAAGAAAATAGTTTTTAATTTGACTTTTAGAAAATCACTGTAGCGTTCTTAGGAATATTAGTAATGCCCCTAATCTTTTGACTTGGTGTGTAAGAAAAATTTCTGTATCTGGGAGCAGAACATGAAACATCTATCAGTTCTATTGTTGTTTAGAAAGTCGTAGTTTAGCTGGTATAAAAAGTATTTGAAATTTTAATTTTGTGACATTCTTGCTACCCAAATCACTTTACTGTCATTTCTGTTCTCTTTCCATTATAATTTTTTTTATTAAAGATGTTATAGACGGGTTCGTTGTAATTGCTATATTTTAAAATATTTTTTAATCTTACCAGTATGCAAAAAGAAGAACTTATTTTATTTGACAGTTTGATAGAGATTATTTTTATTGTTAACAAAGTAGATTCTTTTCCCTAACCTCAACAATGAATTCAGATTTACTAAATAGTTTTGCAGATTATTCTAAAAACTAGTATGTGATCTACTTAGGAAGTTATTCAAAGGTTAATGTCCCTAATTTTCACTGGAGCGTTCTCCTATTTCTCTATAAAGATAATGAATTTGTGGACCTTTTATATTTAAGACTTTGAATTTATTACCTTTTTTGACTTGTTCAGTAACCCTTACAAAAGTGATTGGGAAGTAAATGTAGAAATATAGATAGAGATTAAACACCTGGGGAAACCTAAATTCAGGTCCTGGATATGTAAGCTTTAAATTCACTTTCTTTTTTTGTTTTGTTTTGTTTTGTTTGGGGGCCACACCCAGCGGTGCTCAGGGCTTACTCCTATCCTGATTTTGCACTCACGAATTTCTCCTGGCAGTGCTCAGGGGCCCATACAGGGTGCCCAGGATTGAACCCTGGTTAGCCACGTACAAGGCAGTCACCCTGCCCACTGTGCTATCACTCCCGCCCCTGAGTTCACTTTCTACTTGATAACAAAATATTAATTTGTATCCTGCCTAGATTGTTACAAAACAAGGAAAACTTTTTAAAAGGTGATAAAATCCCATTTTCTTTTTGTAAATAAGTTATTTAGTAACATGCTGAAACTACAGTGCTAACAGTGTAGCTGAGATTTATCCGTTATACATTGCAAGTGTTCCCTTTAACCCTATAATTCGTAACAACGTGCTTTAGTGTTAATTAGCAAAGTTAGTGCCTTTCACTCAGGACACCACTTTTTCTTCATTCATTCTTATATTTATTCAAAAATCCTGTTGAGTTACTTTCAACCTGTGCTAGGTTCTCAGGAAACAATATTCATCAAGTGAAAAAAAAATAATCATCACCTGTATGGCAGAGCCTTTGTTTTGAGGATTACAACCTGATAATAAAAGCAGGTGTATTCTACCCTCTCATGTACTGGACCTGTTAAGGGAGATAGCCAAAAAGTAAAAAGTATTTAATAAGCAGGTAAGCAAGCTATCATAGAGAATGGGATGGTGTTTTAGAAATCATTCCTCGCTACAGAGAGGCGACAGAAACTTAAAGGCTGAAAGGAAGCTTCTCTGTCTCAGCTGAGGGGGGGGTGGTAGCAGTGCTCCAAGATTAAGCCCCAAATACAAAGGCTCTGATGAAGGGATGGGCCTTGTATATCTGAGAAAACCTGGCCTAGAAAGTAGGTAAAATATAGTAAGCACTATATTCTGGGCAAAGCCTGTCATCTCTGAGCTTAACTTCTCTATAAAGTGAGAGAATATCTCTTTTCATTTATTGCAGTGATCAATCAAATTGAGATAACATTTAAGAACTTTTTTTTATAAAGGACTTTCAATAAATGTAACTGAATTAGTTGCAAGACCTCTTTGGCCAGGGGAAGTCTGATAAACTGGTGGTCCAGGGGAAAAAGAGAAGTTAGGCAGGGACTTGAGGCCAGTAAAAGGAGTTTTGCAGGTTTTTTTGTTTGTTTGTTTTTTATTTCAATCGGGGAATGTGAAATCCCGGAAACACTTCAAGAAGGGACTGATAAAAACTGATTTGTGTTGCTATAGTTCACTCTTGACTGCTAAATGCAGAATGACTTAAAGAGAGGCAATAGGGGAAGCTGGGCTATTGGAGTTGTCTGCCACCTTAATCCACTCTTGGATATTTCTTGATGCTATTTTTTTCCCTTTGAAGTGCTTTGCTTCCTGTTTTCTCATTACTTTGCTAGCTCTCTCTACTTTGTATGCTTAACAAGGGGAATACATCATTTCGGCCTTTTAAAAATTAATTTTGCTTTTTTCAGTGAAGTTGCTGAAAAATGAAACAGGAGATAAGTACAATACAAGTTTACAGGCCTACTCATTCACCATGTTTTCTGGCAATCAGAAATTTTAAGAAGCAGTATTGGGGCCAGGGAGATGGCTCAAAGCTGAGCACATGCTTTGTGTGCTGAAAGCTCAGGTTCAGTCTCCACCACCACATGGTCTCCTGAGCACCTCTAGGGGCCCCCCAAACTCTGCACCTTCTGTGCCCTCCGAATACTGCAGTGTGCCTCCCCAATAAAACCAAACAAGCAAAGAAGAAGCACTCTTGAGAGTGTGGACTTCAAAAGGCCGTGTTTGCATTCTACTGAGTACATCCTAAATTCACTGACTGCCCTTCTGTCTGTCATCTGCTGTGCCAGGTCCTAGGGATGCACACACATGGACACCCATCCTACCTTTAGCCTCATTGTGACCATCTACATTGTAATCAAGCCAATGAAGAAATATTCGTTGAATTCACACTCAGTGTGTGATGTGTAGAAGTTTATCCTCAGTCACGGGACTCAAAAAAGTGGAGTCATCAGTTCTGTCAGGAAGGGATCTGGAAAGCCTTTTCCGAGAAGACGATGCTGGAGCCGCCTTACAAGACGAAATAGTATTCCCCTGCTGAAGGAAGGCTGGGAAAAGAATGTTTTTAGGCTGGATAAATAAAAGCATCAGGCTTGATATTAATCTGGTTTATTTAATTCTCAGAACTGTGAGAATTTACATCTCTGGCAGGAGTGGGGGGAGAACTACACTCAGGATTTCTTTTTTTTAAGTTAGAAAAATTGAAGCTTAGAGAAATGAGTTAATTTTTCCAAAGACTCCTGCCAGCCAGCAGCAGGGGTAAAGTCATCCCTTGTCAACCTGATTTGAAAATCCATATTACTCTTGTCATGATGTAGTTGTCTTTCTTGGTTTGAATAATAACCCCTTCCAGACGTCTGACAACTTTTTAGTGTTGGGCTCTATAGAAGCTGCCTCTCATGGAGATTAGTGAAGGAACCTCAAATTAATAATTGTATGATCTTCATGAGACCATGCTGGGATAGACTTTGCACTGAATGGGCTGATGATGTTTGGGAAACCTCTACAGTGGCCCAGTATTTGTTGTGCTTTTTTATTTGGGTAAGTCTTTATTAGAGTTTGCCAAAGAAGCCTGGACACACTGTCCAGAGAAGGGTATTCATTTGAGTTCCATTGACCGAGACGTTTTGCATTTAAAAAAAAAATGTTTGTGTGTGTTTTTAAGTAATCCATAACACGAGAGCCTTTTGTGGTAATGAGACCCAGATTTCCTTCTGTGTCTGTATCCCTTTATGCAGGCATGATTTCTTGGAAAGGAGAGTCCATATGTCAAACAGTGTCTCATTGAGAACATGGAATGATTCCATAGATGCTGTGGCAGTGATTAGAGTCTTAAATATTTTGTCCTGTCTGGATCAGTGGGTGCTTGATTCCTTAACAAATCAGCTGCCTCAGTGATTGGGAAGGCAGGATGGTAAGAGCTTTTAGATCACTTATTGTACTTGGATGCATTTGAATATTAATAGTTTATCCAACTTCTAAGTCAAAGGAAAATTTGAATTAACTTATAATGTTGTCATAGCTATTGTGTGTTTGTGGGATTTATTATCATTGGAATTACCCAATAGCTAAAGTCCTGAGTAAATATCCACATTTTAAAAACAAACCAGAAATTATTATTGCAAGGAAACTGCAGATTTTGTTGGTTTTGCTCTTTCAAATTTTTTTAATGAGGATTTTCCGCTCCTTATCTGAATATTACAGTAGATTTCTGTTCCTGAGGCTTTCTGTGCACCCTCTCTACCTTCTTCCCACCAGCAAAATTATAACCTGTGAGTTTTTTAACCTTTTCTGGTTGTATAAGGAACACAAACTTCTGCTCTGCATTAGGTGTTAGGGGTGTCGTTAATGCTTACTGGCAAAGCACACCCTAGAGAGACAGGTTTGGCTTTGGCAGGTAAAAAAGTCTTTGAGATCTTGGAATGCTGGAAACTTTAAACCTTTTGGTGTTCTAGTTCAAGTGATTGGCAACAGAATGTGACATGTGAAGTTTAGTAGCCAGCAAGAGCCATAATTAACCACAACAGCTCACATTTTCCCTCTGGATGTTCAGTGGTCTTGGGGTGTTGAAAGTGACTTCCCTACCAGGAGGTGGGTTTCCTTTTGAGGATATTGGAATACCCTTGGGCCCTGTAATGCCTCTCCCGTGGTTCTTTTAAACTGCTTTTTAATATAAAGCTTCAATATTGGAAATCTAACACCATGCTATTTAACAGTGTGGCAATGACTAAACACTCTGCCAGGAATGGGAAGCAAAGGAGGGCTTTGCAGTTGAGCCGGGAGGGTTTTTCGTGATTAAAAAAAAAAAAACAGTGGTCAGTTGGAATAGCCAAAATAAATGTTGATTTCCAATCTTGTTTAGTTTTCCATTTTACTGTTTCTCTTGGGCTTTGATGTACATGTACATACATAGGTTCCTCTTAGAGATGTTTTTTAACCTTTAAATATCAGAAAATTGTTTAGAGGGCCAAAGAGATAGTACAGTGGGTAGGGCTCTTGCCATGCACGCGGCCTACCCAGGTTCGATCCCTGGCATCCCATATGGTCCCCTGAGCACCTCCAGGAGTAATTTCCAAGTGCAGAGCCAGGAATAATCTCTGAGCATCGCTGAGTGCGACCCAAAAACAGCAATACAAACAAAACTTGATTTGATAGATCTGTGGATAATCTCAACATATGCAAATGGTATTCTTCAATTTTATCCCTTTACTAATATGGAAAAAGATACAGGTAGTCGAGTGCTTAGATAGACTTAAAAAATATATAGTTTGGAAGGGTAATTAAGAAATCTTTAGCTTCTTCCTGGGAATTTTCAAATTCTTTATGTCAGGATTGATAGGAAAAGGAGAGATTTAGTTGGACTCATATTCTTTATTAACAAAGTCCAAGCACAGTGTAATATTATTCGTTATTACTTTTTGTCCTCTTCCTCTTTTTTCCTTCCAAAGAAGTTTTTTAAAGACTAATTCTGACTGAGAGCAATATTATAAATTTGACAAGTCCTATTTTTTATGAAAGAAGGATTCAACAACCTCTGATAGCACGTATAGTCCCATCTGTATTACTAGAGATAGACATTTAGGAGCAAGATAGTCTCAAATTGTCCTTTTACCCCACCATTCATGATTGTTACCAGTGTGGCTTTGACCAGGCCACTAAACCAGTATCTCATTTTTCTCTAATGGCATCAGAATCAGTGATCGCTAAGGTTTCCTTTATCTCTTACATGATGATTCAGTTATAAGGTAATGCCTTTACAATGTAAATATGATTTTAGTCTATGGTAATGTGATAATACGGATTTTAACAAGTCAAGTACTGTGATGGTCAAGGTAGTTTTGTGGGACTAGTGCAAGAGGTTATGGTCTTTAAAAACCATTTGAATTCTAGGCATTTACGTATGACAGCATCAGTTGACATGAATGCTATTTTATTTTTTTTCATCAGTTTGATTGACATCTTGAAAGAACATTAAATATGGGCTGAGAAATCCATTCCCTGTCAAGCACTGCACAAGTCATTGAGGATTCACTGACTAAGTGTTCTTTGCTGTTAGTAGAAAAATATGAAGAAACCAAGGCAGCACATGTGTGTCATATGCTTGGTTTATTCTAGGCTCTGAAATTTTAAAAAGTGTTATTGATTCTATTATGAAGTCCTGAAACAGTGTGGTGGAATGCTTAAGGGCAGAGCCCAGTGCAGCAGACCAAACTGTTTGCTAGTTAGTACTTTGGAGAGATTCCTTAATTTCTTTAAGCTTTAACTTCTTTATCTACTACATGATTGAAATAGAATATGAGAGTGACCTATTTAATCCATTTAGTCTTTGTTGACAAATTGTGATTATCTTAAATAAACTAATCAGTTCTGGGTCTGAGAACAGAATACTTTGATAATCTGATCAAAGAGAAGCCAGGAATCTGCTATTGTAGTTTAGGATGGAGAACTTACTAAAGCAAGAGACCAGAGGCTCCCAAGCTTATTTGGCCTAATGCCCCTTTTATGGGGGGAGGGGGGAAAGAAAGTCATTCAATAACCTCTGGAAATCTTATTCCCCTGGAAATCTTATTAAGCAAACGAACAGCCTGACCTAGATCATTCCAGTGGCCCACGGGGAGGCAGGGGGAGTGTCAGTGTTGCCCACTCTGGGAAACACTACAATAGTACATTATACCAGTGTTCCTTTCATGAGAAGGAAATGCTTAGACAACTAAGTACAAATGTATTAATGTAAAAATAGGAGAATTTCTTCATAATTGAAGTTAAATTATGAGTAAATAATTGAACTCCCTTACAAGTCAGAAAATGGTCAAACTAATGTCAATCATTTCAGTCTTTCTCTAGTCAGAGGTATTCTAGATTATTTTAAATTGTGTGTGTGTGTGTGTGTGTGTGTGTGTGTGTATGTGTGTGTGTTTTCCTTCTTTGGGGTAATCTTTAAGAAAACACTTTGGAAATACTGTATACCACCAAGTTTAAAACCTTGTGTTGTGTTTTTCTCAATGCTGAGTACCTGAATGATTATTTCTAACTTGGTAGATGGCAGCAGAAATCTGGGTAGTTTGTTAAAAATGTAATTTTCTGTGACTGCTTTGAGAGATACTAATACTAGGCCTTTAGGATATATACTTTTTTCCAACTGCTTCCACCTAAATTGCAAAATTAAAATTAATTTATATTAAACAGTGTGGGGCTTTTACCTTTGACCTTTTGGTTTTGCGGTTTTAATTACTCTTTCCCAAAATCCTATCTCAAGCTTTACACTATTTATGCAACACAATATTTATGAGTCTTAAGGATACACCCTATAAAGTGTATGCACTGTAGCACTGTCCTCCTGTTGTTCATCGATTTGCTCGATCTGGCCCAGTAACATCTCCATCGTGAGACTTGTTGTAACTGTGTCTGGCATACTGAATACGTCACAGGTAGCTTGCCAGGCTTGTCGTTCGGGCCAGATACTCTCGGTAGCTTGTCGGGCTCTCCGAGAGGGTCGGAAGAATCGAACCCGGCTCAGCCAGGCCGGCTGCGCACAAAGCAAACACCCTACCACTGTGCTATCCCTCCAGCCCATAAAGTGTATATTATTTTATTGTACTTCCCTTTAGGGTTAATAATGTTGTACAGTTCAGCTGCTTATAAAACTATTGATGAACCAAATATATAATGTCAGTGCAATATTATGTTGAGACCTCTTTCGAACCATATGATAGACTACAGTATTATTTCTGCCTTTAAAAATACTGGAAAAGAAGCTTCATGAACATTTTAGAATACTAATACTTTTAAGATATATATGTGTGTGTGTGTATATATATATATAAAACAAAATTTAAATCTTCTGTCTACATTTATGAGGTAAATGGTTATTTTTTTTTTTCTCTGCTTTTGGATTTACAGCAAAAGATGATGGAAGCATTGCTGTGGCCCTTGGTTATACTGCACATTTGGTGTCCATGATTTCCTTTTTCCTACAAGTGCCCCTCAGATACCCTATAATTCATAAGGGATCAAGATCAACAATCAAAGATAATATCAATGACAAACTCACTGAAAAGGAGAGAGAGTAAGTATCTTTTTTGAAAAAAAATAATTAAACATCAAATATGAAACAATATAATAAAACTGTAATATGATCTGAGACCAGAGAGTTAGTACTGAGATCAAGACGCTTGCCTCATGTGGCAGATCCTATTTTGATTCCTGGTACCACGTATGGTCACCTGAGCAACATCAGGTGTGATCCCTGACCAAGAGTAAGCCCCGAGCACCACTAAGTCTGGCCCCAGACCACACGTACACACAAAAATTTTAAGTGTACTCTCAATTGTGACAGGTTTTGTATATTCTTTTTCTCTCTGCTCTGTTGTTGTTATTTTCTGGCCACAGCTGGAGATGCTTAAAGGTTAATTTTGACTCTCTGCTATGGGATGCGGGGAATTGAACCCTGGCCAGCCGCATGCAAGGCAAGCCCCCTACCCACTGTGTTCCAGTTCCTGAATATCCTTTCTAAAATCATACATATCTAAAAAGGCATACTTCTAAAAGAAGTGTGTCTGTTTCTTTTCAATAGAATATAGCAATTCATTTAGCTAATAATGGTTGATTTCTCATAGTTCTTAAAATTGCTAACAATAGGATCATGGAGATGCATGTACCCATGGGATTCAGTCCCCGCCACCACCCAGGTCTCCAACACTGGGAGCCACCAAGTTCCACAGTGTCTGAGCAGCATCGCACCTTGGCCTTCAGATCAAAGGGTCTAGTTGGGGCACCTGAGCAAGGACCCCCTCACATACACCCAAAAAAAAAATTGCTAGCCATAGCAAAATTGACTCATTTAAGTTTAATTTGCTTTTGTATTTTCTACTCTGAAAATATTTATGTAGTATCTACTTTTGGTGGATAACGTTTAAATCCCTTTAAGATTATTCAGAGACTTAACAGTAGTTTGACTTACTGAAAAAGGTACAGCCAGTTTAAAAAAAGAAAAAATCCTGACCAAAGAACAAAAGGGCTGGGTGGTATTGAAAATTGCTAGACATATGTAGGACACGCTGGGATAAAGTATGCAGTACATAAAGTTGAAATCACAGGGAGAAGAAACTTTATAGGATAAATGTAAATTTTAAGAAAGATGAAATTTTTCAATATTAATGAAAGATATTCAGCTACAAATTCGTCGTGCATTAGCTCTAATACACATATGTACAAAGCAAACATTTGTAGGAAGTTTATAGTAAAATAGATAAAAATTACAGACAAAGTAAAAAAATGTAAATAGTGAAATGCATTGGAGCCAATTTGTTGCCAAGAGAGCAGTAATGCAGTTGAAAGCTGATTTTTCAATAAAAATGCAGGGTGCCAGAAAGATGGAATGACAGTATTGTAAAATGGCCAGGAAAGAGCTCACGGGTGGGACATGCCTGGGTCTGATCCCAACATCACATTGCCCCCTAAGTACAGTCATATTTGGCCTTAACAAGAAAAGTCGTAACAGTACTGCCAGTATTCATAATATTCATCATTGTATCACTGTGTCACTGTCATCCCGTTGTTCATCGATTTACTCAAGTGGGTGCCAGTAACATCTCATTCGTCCCAGCCTTTAGATTTTTAACAGCCTCTCCTTACTCGTCTTTCCCAACACTGCCGTATTGGAAGCTCTTTCAGGGTCAGAGTAATGAGGTCCATTATTGTTACTGTTTTTGGCATATTGAATATGCCACGGGTAGTTTGCCAGTCTATGTATTCAAAAATATATATTCTAAGTATTTATTAGACACATCTTTCCAAAGTAAGGCAAATTAAACACATTTCAGAACATTCACGGTCACAGTCCTCCCGTTGTTCATCAATTTGTTCGAGCGGGCCCAGTAACGTCTCCATCATGAGACTCTTTGGCATATCGAATACATCACGGGTAGCTTGCCAGGCTCTGCCGTGCAGGCGAGATACTCTCGGTAGCTTGCCGGGCTCTCCGAGAGGGTCAGAGGAATCGAACTCGGGTCGGCCATGTTGGCTGCTTGTAAGGCAAATGCCCTACCACTGTGCTATCGCTCCAGAACATTAAAATTGAGAAAATGCATCTCAGCAGTCTGACAATAAATACTGAATGCAGAATAAAATTGATCTCACTTAAATAAGCAAAAAGAAAATCTTGACTGAAGAACAAGTTAGTAGTTATCAGATGGGAGTTGAGGTGGATGCACTATGTCGAAAGGGTCATTTATATGGTGGTGGGTGGATGGAAACAAAACTTTTGGGTGATGAGTAGAATACAGAATTTATTGATGTTGATATTTTTGTATGCCCGAGACATAGCTCTTTACAGTGTTACTTTAATTAGAAAAAAGCTCTGGTCTTTGAACCAAGAAGGAAATTGATAAGCCTTTAGCAGGATTAATTTAGAAGCAGAAGACTGGCAAAATAACCTGTCTAAGGAAAGAATTTTAAATAGTCATCATCGGTATACATACACTAAAAATAGAAACTGGAGAAATAGTACAGCAGGTAATGGGCTTTCATTGCACATGGCCAACCTGAGTTCAGCCTCCTGCACCCAATATGGTCCCCCATGAGCCCGCCAGAAGTGATCCCTGAGCACAGAGCCAGGAATAAGCCCCAAATTCTGCGAGGTATGTCCCCTTCCCCACCCCACCCCCCCCAAAAAAACAGAAAACAAACAAAATGTTATGGAAAACTTTATGCTGATATTTTGTTATTCAAATAAACATTAATAAATTTTAGAAAACCATAACTTTTAAAAACAAATATATGGAGGCTGGAGAGTTAGTACAGTGGGCAGGGCACTTGTCTTGCATGTGACCAACTTGGATTCGATCTCTGGCATCCCATATGGTCCCCTGACCTGGAATTACTCCCGAGTGCAGAGCCAAGAGTAACCCCTGAGCACCACTGGGTGTACCCATCCTCCCCACACCCCGCAAAAAAAGAACATGGAGGGCTGGAGAAATAATTCAGGATGGAGCCATGTGGCCAATTCTGGTTCTTTCCCCAGCCCCACGTGGTACCCTGAGCTTCATAGGATGCAGCCCTTCCAGGCCCCTTAGCACTTTGGGAGTGGCCAGGATAATCCCTGACACCATAGGTCTCCTGGCGCCCCTGAGAGCTGCCTGGGATCCCTCCAACCCCCGAAATTAAAAATTAAAATATGAATGGAGATCAGAAAACAATACTCCTGATGAAATGAATGTAGATATAAATATTCCAGGTGACTTATTTTCCATTAACATTGTTATATGAGTCCTGATCTCCAGATTCTTGGCTTCTACCCCAGAAATCTGATTCAATTGAGTCTCAGATAAGAAATATTCAAAAATAAATCTACGAGAGTCAGAAAGGTAGTTCGGCAGATGGAACCTACGCTGATCCGATTCCCAGCAGTACTGGTTCTCCTGAACCTGTAGCTCCTGAGCGAGCACCCACTAGGGGAAACCCTGTCCCTCAGGCTCTGTCCCTACGAGTTTGCCTATTCTGGGTATTTCAGATCAACCTCATCAGATGATCTTGACCTTTTGTTTTAGATCTTAGTTTTCAATGTGTACCCATGGCTGGAGCTATAGCACAGCGGGTAGGGCGCTTGCCTTGCAAGCGGCCAACATGGCCGACCCGAGTTCGATTCCTCTACCCCTCTCGGAGAGCCCGGCAAGCTACCGAGAGTATCTTGCCCGCAAGGCAGAGCCTGGCAAGCTACCCGTGATGTATTCGATATGCCAAACACAGTTACAATTGTCACAATGGAGACATTACTGGGCCTGCTTGAGCAAATCGATGAACAACGCGAAGACAGTGACAGTGACAGTGTGCCCATGTCCTGCTCATGGTTTTGAGGTTCCCCTCAGAGATGCTCAGGGCCTTCTTCCAGTGGTGCTGGAATTGAACCAGGAGCAGCCGCATAGCTGCATGCCCTGCACCTCTGTATTATCTCCCCAGCCCCTGCTTAATTCGTGTTAAAATCGATTGCCCTAGATCCTTTGGGGGACTCGTAGGTGAGGATTTGATATTATGATTTATGACATTTTAACTTATTTTTGCAAAGTAACATGCATAACCTTTATTTAGGAGAAGTAATGAGGAGGGAGAGATCACGAAAAGAAACATTCAAGAGAGACTGTGGCTTCTCCAGAGGGCACATCAGGGATTACCCGTAAAGTAAAAGAGGAGTTACACTTCTCAGGTTGAGCTGTGTGGCAAGTCCCAGAATTGAGAAGGCACTGATAGGAGATTTTCAATGTCTTTGTTTATTGTTTTCAATTTATTGAATCCCCATGAGTTGCAGAATTATTCATGATTGAGTTTCAGGCATCCAGTGTTGGAGCAGCTGTGCCCCCCTTCCTCCACCAAAGCCCCAGTTTCCCTCCGGCCCACCAGCCTGTCTTTGTGTCAGGCACTTTTTCCCCCTTTTTTTCTTTCAGGCACTGCAGTTTGCAGTACTGTTCAGCGTCCGACTTTACACCTGTAAATTTCCTCATCCCATAATTTTGGAATGCTATGTTTCTATTTTCATATATTCTAATGCTTTCCTCATTGGTCACTAGTTGTTTAATAAATAGTTTAATTTTTATAAATTACAAATTTTCTTGATTTCTAACTTCTAACTTGTGACAGAGAACACGGTTTTATGACTTTAATATTTTAAAATTTATTAAGACATGTATTTGAGACCAAACATATGGTCTGTCATGGAGAATGTTCCATATACATATACACTGAGAAGAATGTCTATTCTGCACTTGTTAGATGCTCACTGTTCCCTGTATGTGTTTGCATGTTTCTAATATTGTCAAATTTTCTGTATTCTTAGTGATTTTGTGTTGAGATATTTTATTGTTGAAGGTGGAGCTTCCAGCACTTTAGGACTTTTTATTTCTATTTATACTTTAATTCTTAATTCTGTTGATGATTGTACATCATTTTTGGTTTGTTGTTTTGAGTGTTTCTAGTTGTTATTACTTCCTAATGAATGAACCCTTATCATCAGTATATAGTGCCTTTTATAACAACTTTTGACTTAAAGAGCATTTTGTTTGATATTAGAATAGA